CGAGGCAGAGAAGAGGGCAAATCAAAAGAGGAGAGAACAGTCTAGCCAGTAATCAAACCCCTATGTGCTCTGCACAGCCTGGAACACCCAGAGATGTTCACGGAGTTACATAGAGAAGAGAAGAGGGAGGAAGGAGATAGAGGTGACCGAGAGGAGAAGTCAGTTCAGTCACTCAGTTGTGTCTGACTCTTTGCGACCCCATGAACTGCAGCATGTCAGGCCTCCCTGTCCATCACCAACTCCCAGAATCCACCCAAACCCATGTCCATTGAGTTAGTGATGCCATCAAACCATCTCATCCTCTGTCGTCCCCTTCTCCTCCTGCCCTCAATCTTTCCCAGCATCAGGGTCTTTTCCAAGTCAGCTCTTCGCATCAGGTGGCCAAAGTATGGGACATTCAGCTACAACATCAGTCCTTCCCATGAACACCCAGGACTGATTTCCTTTAGGAAATCAGTTGGATCTCCTTGCAGTCCAAGGGACTCTCAAGAGTCTTCTTCAGCACCACAGTTCAAAAGCATCAGTTCTTCGGCACTAAGTTTTCTTTATAGTCCAACTCTCGCATCCATACATGACTACTGGAAAACCCATAGCCTTGACTAGATGGACCTTTGTTGACAAAGTAATGTCTCTGCGTTTTAATATGCTGTCTAGGTTGGTCATAGCTTTCCTTCCAGGGAGTAAGCGTCTTTTAATTTCATGACTGCAATCATCATCTGCAGTGATTTTGGAGCCCAGAAAAATAAAATCAGCCACTGTTTCCACTATTTCCCCATCTATTTACCATGAAGTGATTGGACCAGATGCCATGATCTTAGTTTTCTAAATGTTGAGCTTTAAGCCAACTTTTTCACTCTCCTCTTTCACTTTCATCAAGATGCTCTTTAGCTCTTCTTCACTTTCTGCCATAAGGGTGGTGTCATCTGCATATCTGAGATTATTGATATTTCTCCCAGCAATCTTGATTCTAGCTTGTGCTGCATCCAGCCTATTGTTTCTCATGATGTACTCTGCATATAAGTTAAGTAAGCAGAGTGACAATATAAAGCTTTGACTTCTCCTTTTCCTATTTGGAGCCAGTCTGTTGTTCCATATCCTGTTCTAACTGTTGCTTCCTGACCTGCATACAGGTTTCTCAAGAGGCAGGAAAGGTGGTCTGGTATTCCCATATCTTTCAGAAGAAGGGGTGTCAAAAAGAGAGAGACAGACCTAGCCAGTGTTCAGTTCCCTAAGTTTTCTCCGCAGTCCAGAATACTGAAAGAGGTTCACAGAGTTGGGTAGTGAAGAGAAGGGGCAGGGTGGAGATAGAGGTGACCTAGGGGAGAAAAAGGAGAGTCAAAAGGGGGAGAGGGCAATCAAGCCAGTAATCATACTCCTAAGTAAAAATGGGTACTGAAGATTGGATTCTTAAAGATACAAAATTGATAACAAATACCAAAAAGCAAAGATTAAAAATGTAGAGTAGAGGTTAGACTGTAAAAAATACATTAAAAACAAAATAAAACAAAACCACAAAGATTATAAAAAATATATATGAAGTTTGCTTTAAACATAGAGCCTTTTTTTTGCAAAGTAATAGTAGATTATAACAATGAAAATTAAAGGAGTAATAGAGGACTTAAAAATAAAAACATTAGAAAAATTTAAATGATAATAGTAAAAATACATCTAGGAATTTCTCTGGAGCTGTTGCAGGCAGTGTGGGGTTTGTTCAGTTTAAGACAGTTCCTTGTTCTAGCTTATACTTCTCAAGATCTATAGGCCCCTTCCAATGTAGTCGGTGCTAATTACAGGGTTTTTATCTGTTGTACCTGTCACTTCCAAAGCGGTTCCCTCTGTTTATTTTGGCTTCTTCTGTTTGCAAATCTCTTCAGAGTCTAATTTCTGCCCTGGCAGAAGGGGGCAAAGGTGGTCACTTAATTAGGCTCACTTGTTCAGTCATGCTGTGGGGAGGGAGGAACCCTGCAAACAAATATCACTGGTGTGTGTGGGGAGTGCTTGCAGTGTCTCGGCCACACTGGGTTTGCCCCCGCTCAAGGTGTGTGTGTTTTCCCAGTCTATATTGCTTAGGCTCCAGTTTACTCTGCAGGGGAATTATCTAATGCGGGCCCTGGGTTGCGTGCATTTCCCAGGTCTAAGCCACTCAGGTTCCGGTTCTTGGGTAGTCCGCAAAGGTGCAGACTTGGTTGGACCTTCGTTTTGTGCCCTTCCCTGGCCTGAGCGGCTCAGGCGACCAGGTGCTTGGTGAGAGCACTCTCCTTATGTGCAGTGCATCTTATCACCTCCCCTGTCCCAGCTGCTCGGTTTCCTGGGTGTGCCCTCAGGTGTGCTGTGTGTCTCTTCCGGAGAGCTGATCTCTGGCTGCAATCCTCCCAGTGGATGTCATCCGTCCAGGATCCCAGGAAGACTTGGTTGGCCACTGGGAGCCTCTCAGTTTGGTGGAGGATGCCATCTTTGGGACTGTGTTTGCCCCTTTCCAGCTCTGGCTGCCATCCACCTGCCTCTGGCAGGGCATGGGCTAGTCTGCTTCCAGCTAGCTCTCCTCTGGTATTCTCTCAGTCCTTTGTTCTGTGAGGGGGCCTGGCAGTGCTTTATGTTAGGGCTTTTCATGGGAAAGTTCTCTCACACTGTCTCTCTCTTTCTTTTCTCTCTCTCTCTGGCTATCCCACAGTTTGGGTTGCTGTTTCACATTGACTCCCTCAGATTGCCCTCAGGGCATTCAGTCTGGTCCTTACTCTAAGCAATGCAGCCCGTGCCTCCCTGTTCATCCCCTGCTTGCTGGTGGCCAATGCAAGTGTCTTGGCTATTTCTCCACTGGGAATTTCCATTGGGCACATAATCTGTGGGTTTTATTTATTTATTTATTTTTCCTCCCAGTTATTTTGCCCTCTGAGATTCCAAAACTGCCCACAGACCAACTGCTGAGAGGGTTTCCTAGTGTTTGGAAACTTCTCCTCTTTTATGACTCCCTCCCCAGGATGGATCTCTGTGCCTAACTCTTTTGTCTCTCTTTTTATCTTCTATATTTTGTCCTACCTCCTTTCGAAGACAGTGGGTTGCCTTTCTGGGTGTCCTCTGCCAGCATTCAGAAGGTTTTTTTTTTTTTGGAATTTGCTCAGCGTTCAAATGTTCTTTCAATGAATTTGTGGGGGAGAAAGTGGTCTCCCTGTCCTATTCCTCCACCATCTTAAGACTGCCCTCGTCTTTCAATGTTTTCTAACAATTTTCGTTCCAAGCTAGACATGGTGGATAAAAGGAACTGAGATAAGCAGGTTTTAGTGAGAGGTTTTATTTATCTGATGAGAGTTTAGTCTCTGTTTTTTGTTTGCTTTTACTGTACATGTCAGAAGCTCAACTTACCTCTGGTGTTCTTCTTTTTATTATATTGATTGTCTTTTGTTTTCCTTAGAGTCTTCTTAAATATTTTTGAGAATAGTTCTTTTAGTCACATTCCTGTGTTATTATCCAGGAAGTCTGTTGATGTGGTGGTAAATTGTGAGGAGGTAGCATTCTATAATTCTACAATCATGTCTCAGTACTTTATTTTATTTTTTAATTAATTAATTTATTTTAATTGGAGGATAATTACTTTACAGTACTGTGATGATTTTTGCCATTTATCAATATGAATCGGCCACAGGCATACATATGTACCCCCATCCTGAACTTCCCTCCCACATCCAATCCTACCCTATCCCTCTGGGTTGTCTGAGAGCACTGTCTTTGGGTGCCCTGCTCATGCATCGAACTTGTACTGGTCATGTATTTTACATATGGTAATATACATGTTTCAATGCTATTCTCTCAAATCATCCCACCCTCACTTTCTCCCACAGAGTCCAAAAGTCTCTTCTTTACATCTGTGTCTCTTTTGCTCTCTTGCATATAAGGTTGTCATTACCATCTTTCTAAATTCCATATATATGCATTAATATACTGTATTGGTGTTTCTCTTTCTGACTTACTTCACTCGTAGGATAGGCTCCAGGTTCATATACCTCATTAGAACTTACTCAAATGCATTCCTTTTAATGGTCAAGTAATGGTCCTTTGTGTATATGTACCACAACTTACTTATCCATTCATCTGCCGATGGACATCTAGGTTGCTTCCATGTCCCAGGTATTGTAAATAGTGCTTCAGTGAACATCAAGGTGTATGTGTCTCTTTCAATTCTGGTTTCCTTCGGGTGAATGCTCAGTATTTTAGTGAGCCTGTGTTTCTGGCTTATGATCTTCACAAATATTGTTCAGTTGTGTTTCAGTTTCCCCCCTTAGAAGAGACAAGGAGTCATTCTAGTTCTGGAGTTGTGAATTTCCCCTTTCCCAGGTCAATCAAACTCTGGTTAAATAGTTTCTCTTGAGGGTAGGCCTTATTAAGAGGAATGAAATGCTCTGTGCATATTTTTAAATGGCTAATTTTCTTGGCTTTTCAGAATTACAGTAACATGATGGAATTTTTCTCAGATCTTCACTGTGAGTAAGGCTCTTGTAGGTAAAACTCCTAAAAGCTTGGGAGTCCCCTAGGACTGGGCCTACTTAAAATTTTTAACTCTCAAGCCTGTTCACACTGAACCTCTAGCAATTTGCCAATTATCGATTAGGTTGTCATAGCCCTGCACTGGTTCCCAAGGACTTTTCCGCTCTTGGGCTTCTGCCCTATATGTTTTGATTCTCTGTGTCTGCTTGTCTGTTTCTTCAGCTTTCCCTATGACCTCAGTTCTCTGATGGAGCTAAGAGGAGTTGATTTTCAGGTTGTTCCATTTTTTTTTTTCTTCTTATGTGAATGAAAGAGTTGACTTCCAAGCTCCTTTCATGCTTAACTGGAATCCAAGGGAATTTTTTGAGACCTAAAAGACATGTTTGTTGTAAAGTTTTCATTTTTTGAAACTGGTTAGAGTAACTATCTTTTAATTAACATACTTTATTTTTCTTTTAAAGGGGTAAAATCTAGTATCTTGTGAAAAATTAAATTTTTTCATTTTTTTTCTTCTTGAATAGATCCAAAATGCCCAGGAGATGTTGATTTTCATAATAGTGACTGGGACATTAAGACAATCACCAGCTCCTTGAAATTCTACCTCAGGTATGTCTGATATGCTTTGGAACGTTGCTTTTCAGAATTGATGAAATTTGTCTGTATGGAGATGGAGTTAATGTGGTCCCAATTTTTGGAGGTTAGATAGAATTGCTAAAGAAAAAAAAATGAAAGGGATTTTTGTTAAAGAAAAATGTGCATTAGGAACCTTTTTTTTAAATTGGGAATTTAAGCAAGGGAAACATCAAAATAATAGAATTATTATTAAAATGTGGGTTTCTGAAGAAAATTTGCTTTAAAAACAATTATTTAAAAATCATGCCCTTAAATAATTGAAGTTTTGCCTCTGTGCACAGATAGAGTGATATCACAATGGGCTCACCAGCAAACTCAGGAGTTGTGAAATTCAAGGTTGTTAACCTGTATTGTTGGATAATAATAATTTTGAAATATTAAATTGCATTTACACAGTCATAATTTGTGTATTTATATGTCTTTTTAAATAATGTGAATTAAAAAACAAAAAAAATACAAATATAGAAAAGTTAGAACTGAAAAAGAAAAAAAAATGTTAGAACTTAATGAAGTGATGGCAGTAGAAAAAAATTAACTCATGAGCGAAATTTGGGGATGCACAATGACAGTTTATTGGCATAACTTTATATTGCATAAAATTATTTATGACATATATGTTTTTAAACTCTTTTATTTCTTACCATTTTCTATGTTCTATAGTATGCACCATACTTTATGTGCTAAAATGTCTTTTCAATTATTGTACTCTTTAGTCATTAAGATAACTATTTATGATATGAGAAATGTCATTAATCCAAATAGATTGGGTCCCAGATATTGTTATTAAATGACCTTCTGCTATTGCATCATCTTAGAACTTTAAGTAAATATGAATGTTCTTTCCAGGAGTATTTCTCTTGCATTTGTCAACAAAGAAAATCACTGTTCTTGGAGGGTTTATTCTGTGCTAGGCAATGTTCTACTTGCTTATGTTAACAATATCATTGTTTTTTTCTCACAATAATCTTATGAAGTAGGTGTTACCATACTTATTTTACAGATGAAGAAATACAACATACTTTCTCCCTCATTAAGTAATATTCATGATCACAACTCATATTATTTGAACATAAGTATCTCTAACTTGTAAAGCCACTGGTATTAGAGCATCTTATTTCCCTATTCTCCAAATTCCAGAGGCTGTGACCTTCTTGGGGTTGCTTGGGTATTTTAGTAAAGACAGAGCAATCTGCTATGCACACTTTCAGGAGACTCATGATGATGATAATAGTGCAAGTAAATGACTCTGTGTCTCTAGCCTCTTTAAAAGGGGTTAGTTTTTTCAGAGATTTATGTGGGGTAAGTCCCTCCCACATTTTATCTTTCCCAGCTCATTGCATAATAAGCAGTGAAGCCCATTTGAAAGATGAACCTGAAACTTTGAATGGCCAGCACCTCCAATAAGAGATATTTATTGTTGAGAGTCTTATGAGCCTTTAATATGTACTAGCCAGTTAACACCTTTTCAATTTCTTTTTTTTTAATTGTGTCAGTATCTTCAAAATGAACTTGCTTCATCTGTGTTTTAGACACCTAATTCACCCCGTGTCTCCAACATTTCTAGACAATTACTCTAAAAACCATCCCTTCTCTCTTCTGCATCTTTAACCTTTCTCATTTAATGGATTCTTTCCTCTGAGCATACAAATAGGAAGACCACAACCACATAAAACTAACCAAAATGATCACATGGATCACAGCTTTGTGTAACTCAGTAAAATTATGAGCCATGCCATGTAAGGCCTGCCAAGACAGATGGGTCATAGTGGAGAGTTCTGGCAAAATGTGGTCCACTGGAGAGGGGGATGGCAAACCACTTCAGCACTCTTGCCTTGAGAACCCCATGAACAAATATGATCCAGCATTGCACATCTCTCTAACCTTGTGTTTTGTTTCATTCATTCATTTATACCACCATTCACTAAACCATTCAATAAACATTTCCTGAGTACCTACTCAGTGCCTAGCATACTATCTGGCAGTTGGTATACAGTCGTGAGTAGATATGACCTTAAAAAGTTTATAGTTGGGACTTCCCTGGTGGTCCACTGGTTAAGGATCTGCCTGCCAATGCAAGGGTCACCGATTCAATCCCTAGTCAGGGGAGATACCATATGCCACAGCACAAGTCTGTGTGCTGCAACTACATTTGAGGGATATGACAGTAAATAGTAGCCCCCACTCTGCAACTACAGAAAAGCCCGTACACAACAATGAAGACTACGCACAGCCAAAAACAAATAAATAAAACATTAAAAAAAAGTTATAGTAAAGTGAAATGGACAGACAAAAAACAATTATACAAATATAATAAACTGTAATGAGTGCTCTGAAGGAAAACTGCAAAGTGCTATGCAATCATATAATAAGAAAGCCTGATTTGTTCTGGTTTTCATTTTGAAATGAAGTTTGAATTATAACTTGGAGTCAACTGGCAAGGGGAGGCAGTTCCATACAGAAATAACTTCATATGCAAAGACCTTAAAGCACAAAGAAGACCCTTTTAAGGAACTACATGTACCAGTATATGTGGAGTATTGAGTGTAGAGGGAGGGAGAGATATGTAGGGCCAGATCATTCAAGGCCTTTTAGGATATTTTTAGAATTGGAGTATGACTATATATTAAAAGCAATGGGAATATATTGAAAGATTTTAAGCAGGAGGTTGTATGATATTTGCATTTTGAAAAAATTTAGAGAGATGAGATTAGAGAGAGGCAAAATAAGTAGAGGTGGAAACCAATTAGCGAGCTATTGCTGTGGTCCTGGAAAGAGATGATGCTCTGTGGGACTAGGGAGTAGCATTGGGAATAGATAGAAATAAGCATAGTCAAGAGATTTAGGAAATAAACTTGGATATGAAGATGGAGGAGAGGGAGATAAAAGAATGATTTCCACATCTCCAGCCATGCAACCAAATGTTGGTCATACAGTTACTGATTTGGGAAACCTTAAAAAAAAATTACCTCATTTGAGAGAGATGACAAATTAGGTTTTTGATATGTCAAATCTAGGTGTCTTTGTAGAAACTAGGGCAATAATTTTAAGTAGGCAATCTGATATATAGGAAATATATAGGCATGTAACTCAGAGAATTCTGGGCTTGAGTTAAAAAATTGGAGATCATCAACAGTGCAGATGATAATAGGAGGCAGGGGCTTAGATGAAATTGCCTAGTGAGATATTTCACCCTTTCCCAATCTAGCTCCAGTGTATGAAGTAATACACACTCCCACCTTTACTTTAAATCTCTGTTTACTTTTTAACCCACTGCAATCTGACTCACCCCCTCTCCTCTAGGAAGCTGCTCTTGCCAACGTCACCAGTGATTCCCTCAATGCTAAACACAGTGGATGATTGTCAACCTTTACCTTATTTGATCTCTTTATAGCATTTGAAGCTGTTAACAAGCCCTCCTTGAAAGTTTTTCTTCTTTTGGATTCTGCTAATCTATGACTTTTGGATTTTCTCTCACCTCTTTGATAAATTTTCGAAGTCCCTTTTATGGACTTTCAACCTGGTATTCCCCAGGGCTTTCTTCTCATTTTGCTACATTGGAGAAGAGGAAAATACAAATATTTACAGGAATAAGGACATGAAAATGACTGAAGGACTACTTTCATATTAAACTTGTTGCCTATAAAACCCTTAATTGCATGGCAATCCCTTTGTTTATATATAAACAGCAATATTCTTTACTCCCACAAACAACCATAGGAGCCCAATATAGACAGATTTTTCCATTTTTCAATAGAGGCAGACAATATTCATCTTGTATGTGAAAACTCAATTTTCTTCATGTTATGATGACTGATTCAATTCCATTTCTTTTTTACACACTATTCTGGACTGGAAAAAATGTTGAAAGACCTCCTGTAACTGTTGGCTGCCAGTTTGCCATCTCTCCTTGAGCCATGGTATTTGTTCTTATGGTTCTCATAAGCCCTGCTTCTCAGATCTGGAAAAGCACTTCGTCCATCTTCCTAATAAACACCTGCCTTTGCTATCCGAGAAACCCCTCAGACATAGCATCTCTACTTCCCTCTGAATCAATTTCTAATATCTTCAGTCCCAAACCAGACTACTCTGGTTTTGTGTACCCAAACCAGATTACTCTGTCCCTCATCAACATTAATCTCTCCCTTATAACTATTGAAGGAGCTGTCTTTAATGTCTTTCAAATAACTCTCCTCACCTTTTCTTTCTACCCCTAATGGCACTATTTTCATTTAGGCTTTTATTATCTCTTGCCTGTATTACTGCAATAAGAGCAGTGGCAAGCAGTATAACATAATGATAAAGAACATGGACTTGAGACAGACTGCTTACTTCCGCCACTTACTAACTATGTGGCTTAGGATGAACTATTTAACTTTTCTGAAGCTCAGTTTCCTTATCTAAAACATGGAGATAATATTAGCATCTACCTTACAGGGTTGTCATGAGAATTAAATAGGCAAATATATGTTAAACACTTAGAACAGTGACGAGTTTGCTATTATTACTATTATTAGTGGATTGCTTCCTTCTTCTGGGCCACGTACTACCCACTTTTATCATTATACTTGTTACCTTACATTGCAAAGTTTGTATATGGTACTCTCCCCAACTAGACTGTTAGCTCCTTGAAAGTTTAGACTACATCTAATTCATCTGGATCCCCAATATCTGGCACAATGCCAGTCACAAGTAGGTGGTCTCTATGTATTTAGACCACACCACGCAGCATATGGGATCTTAGTTCCTTGACCAGGGGTCAAACTCTTGCCCCTTGAAGTGGAATTACAGAATTTTAACCACTGGATCACTAGGGAAGTCATTCAACCAGTATTTTTTTGACTAAATAAACCTATCTGAGCCTCAATTTCCTTCTCCATTAAACAGGGATTTGAATTACTTCTTCACAGGAATTTTGGAGGGGTCAAATGGCAGGACAGATGTAAAAGAACTTGGAAACTAAGGAAGTAACAAACTGTAAGGACTCCATAGTAGTAATCATAGTGGGTACACTTTGGAATTTTGCAGGGCTGGGTTGTGCCTCTTTTCACTTTGGGGAACTAGTTGGAGACTCTGCTCGAGGTCTCGGCTCATACTTTCTTCTATTGAATTATGAGCAACGAGGATTCCTCTGACAAGTTTTCAGATGAACAAAAAATGCATATAGTCATGTCAGTCTGTGAGCTCAGAAACTTCAGCTTTGCTTCTCACAGAACTGAGATTCTAAGGCCTCACTACTCCCTCCCCAAAGGAACTTACAGTCTTCATTAATTTCAGGAATCTTTCTGAACCTGTCATGACCTATAGACTTCACAAAGAGCTGGTCTCTGCTGCCAGTAAGTATTTATGTTACTTAGTTAATTGTGTTTTCCTGGCTTCTAACTAATAATTAGAAAAATAAGCCTAGAAGACTGCTTGAGGGAAAGCAAGGGATAAAACAAATATACTTACAGGTTTTGTCCACTGTCAAATGAGAATATTCTTACTTGCTAACTCATGTGCTGTATTAGTTTTCATAAATCAGTGTTAGTTGAATAAATTGGAGAAAATTGGATAATTTGAGGGATGCAACAGTTCTGAGGACTTGATTGATTGATTGTGCCTTATATCAGAACAAGCATATTGGCTCACATTGCCAGGAAACAGCAAAATGGTTCCATTACAGTTATTGTTTCAGCTTTTTTTCAACACTTTGCCCTTTCAAATGCTCTTCAATTGTGTTGTGAATTATTACTCTTAATTTTTTAGTGCTAGCTTCACAATGTTTAGATTATGAGACCAATGGTGAGACTGGAGGGGTACATAGGAAATAAGGTATATAGAATCACTCAAAAAGTCGGCAGCTGAAGAAGCATTAAAAGTTTTGGCTGAGGCAACTGTATGAACTGTATGAGTATCCCTCCCTACCTCCATGTGACTCTTCTTTTTGTGCCCTGTATGGTATTGAGATAAAAGATGCAAGGGATTTATCCTCATAATGAATATTTGTTGAGGCAAGAGAGCCTTGATTTTTACTCTGGGCTCTCTCAGTAATTTTCATAGGAACCCAGAGGCAGCAGCATACCTCCCAGTTCCACAAGGAAATTTACTGGGCAAGCGTTTCCAGCTAGAAGTTTACGTGTGGAACTTTAAGAGCAACATGCTGTATTTAGAATTCTGACTTGTTCTGATACAGTCTTCTCTTCTCTGTTCTGTTTTTTCTTCTCTCTTCTATATTCTTCTCCTTTCTAGACCAATTTATTTGTTTTTAATCAATGTTTTTACCTTTTAGTCAGTCTCTCTCTTCCCCCTTCAGTGTCTTTATTTTTTGGTCTCTTTCTGTCATTTTGCCCCTGTGTCTATATATCTCTCTCTTTTCATCTCTCAGACTCGCTATGTGTCTCTGATTGTCTCTGCATGTGCACATGCATGGGTGTGTGTATGTGTGTCTGTGTATGAGAATTTGCTTAATCCAATTGCCCAGAAGGCAAAACTATCTCTCTGTTCTCTCTCAGAGTCTGACAACCTGGATTATCGATTGGGAGCTATTCACTCCCTGGTATATAAGCTACCAGAAAAGAACCGAGAGATGCTGGAACTTCTTATAAGACATTTGGTCAAGTAAGTAACTTCTAGGTTTTCAGGAAGAGTTCCTGTTAGAAGAATGAACCACATGATAGCACTACAGATAAACCTTCTTTAAGCTCATTAAGTCCCAACCCCCAATTGCTTCATCCTAGGCAATCTGAATGCTCAGTGAGAAACATGATTTTGCCTTTACCCTTGTGGTGTATCTTATCCAGGTCATCGTGCATCTTATTTGAGGATTTTTCTCAGTTTAGGCATTCATACCAGATAGAATGGGTTAAGCACAAGCTTTGCTGTCAGATAAATCTGATTTCAAATACAAGTTCTACTGCTTATTTAGCTTTATAATCTTAGGAAAACCTCTCTTAGCCTCTGTTTGGTCATCTTTAAAATAAGAGTAGTATTGTCTGCCCCTTAAAACTGTTGTGTGGATTTGAATGAACACAGGTAAAGTGCCTGGGACATAGGAAGTTCTCAAGACATGGGAGTTATGATTATAGTCACCTTCTTTGCTTGGGTAAGGCAGGTAGGAAGCGATAGCAGCATTTCAGAATAGATCTGGTGATAGGCTCTAAGATGGGTGGATATAAGGGGCATGTGTGTCCCACTGTGGTGCTTCCTGACCAGAGGGTTCAAAGTTGTGAATACAGATAAATTTACTTGACTCTTAAAAGGCTGGTCTAAGGAAACAATATGGAACAGCAAAAAGTACTGTAGCCAGGAGTGAGCAAACCTGGGTTCCAGCATCAGTTCTGCTACTTGCTTTCTTGATAACCATTGACAGGTCACTCTTAAGCTGCTCATACTGTGTTAAAAAGTAAAAAAGTTAGACAACAAGCTTAGAAAAATTGTGATGCATTCTAAGTCTATGTAACAAAATTAAGCTATCAGTACACTCATAAAAATGCATCTGGAAATCACTTCAAAAATAACATTCGTATTTCTTCATTCTTTTTCATTCCTGTATAATGCCATATTGTTTGAATACACCATTATTTACATAAGTAGTCACTTATTGTTGGAGAATATCTCAAACCCCTAGGGGATAGGTGGTGAATAGGGTGGAAGGGATAGACATGAATGCTAGACTCCTCTGAGTCCACCTCCTTTTGACTTTTGTGCCATATTAATATTTTATGTATCCAAATAGTAAAGTTAAATCAAAAGGAAAATATTACAAACTCTAAAATGGAATGCAAAAAAAGAAAATGATTCTAAATATCAAATTCATAACATATTAACACAGAGAAAACAGTTATTTCATCAAATGTGTCAATACAGCCACTAATTCATGTTAATAAAATATGTTCTGAAAACAATAAAAGCCATGAAAAAGTTATAATCATCACCCAGTAAGATTATAAGTATTATTATTAGTACGAGTTTTGCCAAGAGACTGCACTGGTTATAGCAAACACTCTCTTACAACAACATAAGAGACAACTACATATGGACATCATCAGATGGTCACTACTGAAATCAGATTGATTATAATCTTTGCAGCTGAAGATGGAGAAGCTCTATACAGTCAGCAAAAACAAGACCTGGAGCTAACTGTGGCTCACATCATGAACTCCTTATTGAAAAATTCAGACTAAAATTGAAGAAAGTAGGGCAAACCACTAGGCCATTCAGGTATGAGCTAAATAAAGTCTCTTATGATTATACAGTGCAAGTGAGAAATAGATTCAAGGGATTAGATCTAATAGGCAGAGTGCCTGAAGAACTATGGATGGAGGTTCATAACATTGTACAGGAGATGGTGACCAAAACAATCCACAAGAAAAAGAAAAGCAACAAAGCAAAACGGTTGTCTGAGGAGGGCTATTTGTTGTCTCACAAATAGCTGAGAAAAGAAGAGAAACTAAAGGCAAAGGAGAAAAGAAAAGATATACCTATCTGAATGCAGAGTTCCAAAGAATAGCAAGGAAAGATAAGAAAGCCTTCTTAAGTGAAAATGCAAAGAACTGGAGGAAAACAGTAGAATGGGAGTGGCTAGAGATCTATTCAAGAAAATTAGATGCCAAGGGAACATTTCATTCAGAGATGGGCACAGTAAATGACAGAAGTGGTATGGACTTAACAGAAGCACAAGGGACTAAGAACAGGTGGCAAGAATATACACAGAACTATACAAAAAAGATCTTAATGACCCGGATAATCATAATGGTGTGATCACTCACCTAGAGCCAGACATCCTGCAATGTAAATTCAAGTGGGCCTTAGGAAGCATTGCTATAAGCAAAATTACTGGAGGCGATGGAATTCAATCTGAGCTACTTCAAGTCCAAAAAGTTGATACTGTTAAAGTGCTGTTCTCAATATGCCAGCAAATTTGGAATACTTACAGTGGCCTCAGGAATAGAAAAGGTAAGTTTTCATTCCAATCCCAAAGAAGCACAATGCCAAAGAACGTTCAAGCTACTGCACAATTGTACTCATTTCACATGCTAGGAAAGTAATGCTCAAAATCCTTCAAGCTAGGCCTCAACAGTACATGAACCAAGAACTTCCCTATGTATATGCTGGATTTAGAAAAGGCAGAAGAACCAGAGATCAAATTGCCAACATCCGTCGGATCATAAACAAAGCAAAGGAATTCCAGAAAAACATCTACTTCTGATTCATTGACTACATAAAATCATTTGACTGTGTGGATCACAACAAACTGTGGAAAATTCTTAAAGAGTTGGGAATACCATACCACCTTACCTGCTTCCTATTAAACTTGTATTTGATCAAGAAGCAACAGTTAGAACCAGACATGGAACAATGAACTGGTTCAAAATTGGGAAAGGAGAATCACAAGGCTGTATATTGTCTCTGCTTATTTCAACTTATATGCAGAGTGCCTGTGTGCGTGCTCAGTAGCTTTAGTATTGTCCAAATCTTTGCGACTCTGTGGACGGTTGCCTATCAGGGTCCTCTCTCCATGAGATTCTCCAGGCAAGAATACTGAAGTAGATTGTTGGGCCCTCATCCAGGGGATCTTCCCCACCCAGGCATCGAACCTGAGTCTCCTGCATCTTCCATATTGCATCATGTGAAATGCAGGGCTGGAGGAAGCACAAGCTGGAATCAAGATTGCCAGGAGAAATATCAATAACCTCAGAGATGCAGATGACACCACCCTTATGGCAGACAGTGAAGAAGAACTAAAGAGCCGCTTGATGAAAGTGAAGAGGAGAGTGAAAAAGTTGTCTTAAAGCTCAACATTCAGAAAACTAAGATCATGGCATCTGGTCCCATCACTTCATGGGAAATAGATGGGGAGACAGTGGAAAAAGTGTCAGACTTTATTTTGGGGGGTTCCAAAATGAGTGCAGATCGTGATTGCAGCCTTGAAGTTAAAAGATGGTTACTCTTTGGAAGGAAAGTTATGACCAACCTAGATAGCATATTAAAAAGCAGAGACATTCCTTTGCCAACAAAGGTTCGTCTAGTCAAGGCTATGGTTTTTCCAGGGGTCATGTATGGATATGAGAGTTGGACTGTGAAGAAAGCTGAGCACCGGCGAATTGATGCTTTTGAACTGTGGTGTTGGAGAAGACTCCTGAGAGTCCCTTGGACTGCAAGGAAATCCAACCAGTCCATCCTAAAGGAAATCAGCCCTGGGTGTTCATTGCAAGGACTGATGCTGAAGCTGAAACTCCAGTGCTTTGGGCACCTCATGCGAAGAGTTGACTCATTGGAAAAGACCCTGATGCTGGGAGGGGTTGGGGGCAGGAGGAGAAGGGGATGACAGAGGATGAGATGGCTGGATGGCATCACCGACTCAATGGACGTGAGTTTAAGTGGACTCTGGGAGTTGGTGATGGGCAGGGAGGCCTGGCATGCTGTGATTCTTGGGGTCGCAAAATGTTGGACACGACTGAGCGAGTGAATTGAACTGAACTGCTCCTTGGAAGTAAAGCTATGACAAACCTAGACAGTATATTAAAAAGCAGAGACATTACTTTGCCAACAAAGGTCCATGTAGTCGGAGATGTGGTTCTTCCAGTAGCCATGTACAGATGTGGTAATTGGACCATAAAGACGGCCAAACAACAAATAATTGATGCTTTTGTACTATGTTGTTGGAGAAGACTCTTGAGAATCCCTTGGACTGCAAGGTGATCAAAGCAGTCAATGCTAAAAAAAAAATCAACCCTGAATATTCATTGGAAGGACTGATGCTGAAACTGAAGCTCCAAAAGTTTGACTACCTGATGGAAAGAGCTGACTCACTTGAAAAGACACTGATGCTGGGAAAGGTTGAGAGCAGGAGGAGAAGGGGGTGACAGAGGATGAAATGGCTGGATGGCATCACTGACTCGATGGACATGAATTTGAGTAACTTCCAGGAGTTTGTGATGGACAGTGTGGTCTCTCATGCTGCAGTCCATGAGTTCCCAAAAAGTTGGTCATGATTGAGAGACCGAGCAGCAACAACAGTCTACAGAAAAATAAGTTCAAAATAGATTAAAGACCTAAATATAAGGCCTGATACTGTAAGTCTTAGAGGGAAACATAAATAAGCCACTCTTTGACATAAATTTTATCAATTTTTTTTAGATCTGTTTCCGAAGGCAAAGTAAGCCAAAGCAAATGAAAAGTGAGACCTAATTAAACATAAAACCTTTCTAACAGCAGAGGAAGCCATTAACAAAATGAAAAGGCATTCTTCTGAATTGGAGAAAATTTTAGTAAATGATATGACTAATAAGAGTTTAATATCTAAAATATGTAATCAACTCATGCAACTAAATATCAAAAAAGTGAACAACCTGATTAAAAAACAGAAAAAAGAATAACATTTTTCCAAAGATGAGATACGATGATCACCAGGCACATGAAAATATCCAACACTACTAATAATCAACGAAAGCAAAAAAAAATAGCACTCAGATATCACCTCATGAACATGTCAGAATGACTATCATTAGTGGGGATCTCCATATATAAGTTGGTCATAACTTTCCTTCCAAAGAGTAAGCATATATATGTGTGTGCACACACACACACACTACTATGTATAAAATAGATAGCTAATG